ATGCCCAGCTGATTTTTTGTATTTTTAGTAGAGACGGGGTTTTACCATGTTGACCAGGATGGTCTCGATCTCTTGACCTCGTGATCCACCCACCTCGGCCTCTCAAAGTGCTGGGATTATCTTTTTTTTTGAGACAGTCTCGCACTGTTGCTGGGGCTAGAGTGCAGTGGCGCAATCTCAGCTCACTGCAACCTCTGCCTCCTGGGTTCAAGCAGCTCTCCTGCCTCAGCCTCCTGAGCAGCTGGAATTGCAGGTGCCCACCACCATGCCCAGCTAATTTTGTGTATTTTTAGTAGAGTCAGGGTTTCACCTTGTTGGCCACGCTGGTCTCGAACTCCTGACTGTGATTCACCCATCTTGGACTCTCAAAGTATTGGGATTATAGGTGTGAGTCAGCTGGAATGCAGTGGTGCTATCCTGGCTCACTGCAACCTCCGCCTCACAGGTTCAAGTGATTCTCCTGCCTCAGCCTCCTAAGTAGCTAAGATCACAGGTGCCTGCCACCACAGCTGGCTAATTTTTGTATTTTTAATAGAGAAGAGTTTTTACCATGTTGGTCCGGCCGTCTTGAACTCCTGATCTCAAGTGATCCACCCGCCTTGGCCTTTCAAAGTGCTGGGATTACAGGTGTGAGCCACTGTGCCTGGCCAGATGCTTAGGTTTGCAAAATCTGATGTGATTTATGCTTTCGACACATCTCAAATGATACCACGTTTTAAGTGCTCACTAGTTAGATGTGGCAGTGATGACCATATTGGACATTATAGTCTAGACAGACAAAACTCAGAAAAAGGGTATAGAGCCAGGAAATTATTGAATATATCTGTGAGAGAGGTATTTCCTTTTTTTGAGATGGGGTCTCACTATGTTGTCCAGGCTGATTTCAAACCCCTGGGCTTAAGGGATCCTCCCCCTTTAGTGACCTTTCTCAGTAGCCGGGACAACAGGCATGCACTGCTGTACCCTGCTTGTTTTTAAATTTAGGCTGAAGCGTAATAATGGGCCCTGATGCCGAGAGGGTAGCTTGTGGCAAGATCATGGGGAGACTTCATGTCTGTACAAACTACTACAAATAAAATCTTAAATTTTTTGGTATGCTAAAATTTACTGTAAGTTTATATAGATAAAACCCAAAGTTGGTATAAAATTTTTGAATTATATGTGTTCAGAATTTCAGCCAGTGTTTGGAATCCAAGCTAGAAAACAACCCAGTGGAAAATGTTACTGCTGTTTCAACTCTGCTCAGTCAAGCAAAAATTGAAACAGGAGAGAATAAATTTCCAGGTAATACTTTGGAAATATTATTTGAATTTCATAGTCTTCAGTGATATTTTTGTCAGTATTACAGAAAATGTTGTCATATACCAAATAGGCTTGTTACATTCTTTTTAACCATTGCTATATTTTTCAAATGTGATTATGATGATGATCATCCATTCTTTCAGAATTACTTCTATTGATTGGTTTGTTTAAAGTACTACCCTTTAACTCCCTACCAAACGTTCTTTTGTTTTTTAAACTTTTCTTTTGTTTGTGACTTACCGAGTTGAGAAGTGTTCCTTAATGAAGTGCATAAAATAGTGGTAGCAGCTTATTTCTTAAGTACTTTATTATTTGTGTTTTACCATTTCAGGTTCTTATCTTTAACCCTTATTTACTTCCTTATCTACTCAGTTTTCCATCTCAATGATCCTATCTCTAAATTAAGGATTTAATAAATGCTGCAAATTGTATGCTTCTATAAGAGCTTTAGTTTTGGAATCTTGTGAACCTTTTTAATAAATGTATTATTTGGGCCAGGCGAGGTGGCTCACTCCTGTAATCCGAGCACTTTGGGAGGCCTAGGGGGATGGATCACTTAAGGCTTGGAGTTCGAGACCAGCCCTTACCAAAATAGTGAGATTCCCCGTTTCTGCTTACTTAAAAATACAAAAAATAAGTAGCCAGGCATGGTGGTGCACGCCTGTAATCTCAGCTGCTTGAGAAGCTGAGTTAGGAGAATTGCTTGAACCTGGGAGGTGGAGGTTGCATTGAGCCAAGATTGCGCCACTACATTCCAGCCTGGGTGACAGAGCGAGATTCTGTCTCAAAAAACCTAAAGAAAAAAAAATTATTTGAAGCGTTGGATGAGGATTTGCTTACTTATATTGGATGAGACACCAGAGGATATAGAAAAGAAATCTCTAATTCCTATTGTTGCTTGGCTGAAGGTAAGGTATACATGGAGCAAAATATTGAGTTCAGATAATTGCTGCCATTGCCTGTGATTTAACTATTTCTCTTAGTGAGGGAAGAGAGAGTGTGGTATAAATATTCATTAGAAAATAGGATGAGTTGGTTATTGCCTTTATTTATCATTCTAATTAAAATTCCAGAGACCATCTTTTTTTAAAAAAAAACACAAAATGTTTTCATTTATTTTTACTTAGAGATTCTATAATTACGTAGGCATTGAAAGTTTCCTTAATATTCAGTCCTAATAATTGTTGGTTAGAGCTAAACTAATCTACCATTAGATCTCTTTGCAGCTTTGTAATCTGAGTATGGGACAGCCTTTCTGCCTTTTCTCTGAAGAACAGTATCTAGGAAGGAGGGTCCTAATTGTATCAGATCGTCTTTATTAAAAATAAATCATTTAATGGATTGAAAGTTTTTTTTTTCTTTATGTGTAATGATTTTAACCATTAGAAACCTAATATAAAACTTAATACATAACCCACCTTCTTGATTAAATTACAGGTTCAGCTCCCCAACAGCACAGTATTCTCGATAACCAGACATCTAAAAGCAGTGATAGCAGGTAAGGTGTTAATTAAATTTTTGAACTTAAGGATTTTTGCTTACAAGTTTTGAGTTCAGGGGATTCTTCCTTAAAAAGTTATGCTAGTAACCCTCAGTTTACCTACAGATTCTCTTTTCATTACAAGTTTTTCTATGCCTATAATACTGTTTACTAGTGACATCTTTTCTACCTTACTACCTCATTCTTTTTAGAGTTGGGGTCTTTCTCACTTACCCAGGCTGGAGTGCAGTGGCACAGTCACAGCACCCTTGAACTCCTGGGTTCAAGTGATTCTTCTGCCTCAGCTTCCTATGTAGCTAGGACTATCGGTGTGTGGCACTATACCTGGATAATTTTTAAAAATTCTTTTTTAAGAGACAAGGTCTTGCTATGCTGCCCATGCTGACTTTGAACTCCTGGCCTCAAGTGATTCTCCCACCTTGGCCTCTCAAATCTCTGGGATTACAGGTGTGAGCCACAATATCTGGCAGCTACCTTATTCTTCTAAATTCTGCATTAGATTTCATCGTGTGACTTTTCCGTGGTATAACAGCTCTATTCCTATGCACATTTTGGATATTTCTACTGTATTTCTATCCAGAAAAAAAAAAAATTCCTATGATAAATACATATATCTTTGCTCGCTTGTGTGTCTGTATCTCATAGCTATAGAACTTATCCTGCATTGTTAAACTTTTCCTCCAAAGTGTTTGGGCCTGTCTCAACAGTATTTGAGAATGCCCTTTTGCCTAGACTTCTAGAAATACTGGGTATTAGCAACATGTAAGAGTGTTTTAAGTAAGATTAAAAGCTTTTTGTTTGGCCGGGTGTAGTGGCTCACGCCTGTAATTCCAGCACTTTGGGAGGCTGTGGCTGATGGATCACTTGAGGTCAAGAGTTCGAGACCAACCTGGCCAACATGGTGAAACCCCATCTCTACTAAAAATACAAAAATTAGCTGGGTATGATGGCACATGCCTGTAGTCCCAGAGGCTGAGGCATGAGAATTATTTTAACCTGGGAGGGGGAGGTTGCAGTGAGCTGAGATTGCAATACTGTACTCCAACTGTGTGACAGACTCTTGTCTCAAAAAAAAGCTTTTTGTTTTCTTTTTAATGTCAGAATTAAATAGATCTGACTTATTTTGTCTTTCAGATTAACAAACAGTATTTAGTACAAACTGGAATGACTTAGATAGCTAAAACTATAAAACTTAAAAGCATATTCAGATACAGTGTTGCAGTTTTTATTTTTTTACTGGAAATTAGTAAAAGATTTTTCTCCCTCTCTTGAAGTTGAAATTTATCAGTATTGTGTAGAAAATAAGTTATTTTTCCCCTCCAGTTATTTGAAATGATTTGGATCTGTAACATTTAATAATTTTACTTTTTTTTAAGGGAGACACCACGAAATAATTCTTTGCCTAAGTGTAATTCCCATTTGGAGATAACAATTCCAAAGGACTTGAAACTAAAAGAAGCAGAGAAAACTGATGAAAAACAGTTGATTATAGTAAGTATATAACTTGACCATTTTGGTGAATTGTTAGAAGCATCTTAGTATATTTTGTGTTGCTGTAATACGATACCTGAGGTTGGTAATTGTTATAGAAAAGAAGTTTATTTGGCTTATGGTTCTGTGGGCTGGCATCTGCATCTGGTAAGGGTCTCACATTGCTTCACCTTATGTATAAAAGCAGAAACGGAGTGAGCTCATATGCAGAGAGACCATGTGGTAAGGGAGGAAGCAAGAGAGAGAAACCAAAAAGCCAGACTCTTTTAACTCTGCTCACCCCAGCAGGAGAGCATTCGAGGGCATTGATCTATTTGTGAGGGATTCACCTCTGTGACCGACACATCTCACTAAGTCCCACCTCCAAACATTGTCACATTGGAGATCAAATTTCCATATAAGTTTTGGTGGAGACAAATCATACCAAAATCATAGCAGCATTGTATTTATACAAAGTATTAAAGAATAAATTCATTCATTTTTGCCAAAGAACCTTTTTATCATAATAAATTTTATTATGGAAAATATTCCTGGTATTATTACAACCCCTTTCTCAAATAGTGAGTCTGTCTTGTAATGATAATTGTTTTCATACTTCTAGTTTTATAACATATTATGATACTTTATTTCACATCTGTTACTTCCTTAGATTTGTCATTTGATCACTACCTCCTTTGAGTAGTTAATTTAAATGTTGAAATAACATGGAACTTAATGCGTAAAATGATTTTAAATATATTGTAGTATACATTATTATTTTAAAATTACATTTTAAGTCACAGGGAGATAAATTGGAAAAGAGGAGGTATTTTGATTGATTAAAAATCTAACTTGAATGAGTAAACATAAAAAAATTAAGGTACCCAGAGTGCTAGGAATGTTTAATGTAGCTCCAGTTCACGTAATCAGTACTTTTTTTTTTTTTGCTGTTCTTTTAAATTTTAATAAAATAGATTAATTTCATATTACATAGAGAGCAAGTCCATCCACTCATCCATGATAAAATTTTAGAAATATTTTTTATAAAATGTTTAGTATTTGATTGGAAATGAATCCAGTAAAACATGACTTCTACAGACACAGCATTTCCATCCTCACTCCCATTCCTATTGAGAAATTTTAAAAATACAGAAAAGTACAAAAAATAAGACAAGATATCCATACACCACAATCCAGAATCAATGAGAATCTTCTTATATTTACTTAAAGTCCTTTTAAAGAGAAGTGGATGTTTATATAAAAAGCTCAAGTCCCCTTTAACCGATACCCACCCCACCTCCCATACTCATTACTTTCCCTTCTCCACTCTTCACAGGTGACCAATATCAAGAGTTTGGTCTGTATCCTTCCAACCCATTTCAACAACATGTACATACATATATGCATCCATTACCAATAGACAGTACTGAGTATTGTGAGGGAACTTTTCATTCAAATTTACATTTGTCTGTAAATTTGTATAAGTCATTGTACTACCTGCATCCTTCTGCAACTTGATCCCCCCTCAACACTTCTGGGATCTTTCTGGGAATACATGTGGATTTCATTGGTTGCATGTTACAGATATATAGTATTACATTAAGAATTTCCCAGAGTTCCTCATGGGCATTCTCAGTTGTTTCTAATTTTTGGCTACTACAAATCAAGCCACAGTAAATATCCTAGTACGTATTTCCTGAGCATTCATAGTCACAAGTAGAACTGCTAAGTATTTCTGAAGTTGTCAAAAGGAATGTTTCCCTGTTCCCAAGGTCATATTGCATGTAGTATACAGCTTTTCATATTTCTGTTTTTAATCTCTGGATTTACTTTTGCGTATAGTTCATGGTCTATTTTTCTCCCTTGGAGAACAAATTACCTCCACTTAAAAAAATAGTTCCATTATTTCCTCACTTCCTGATGCCGCTTGTATCATATTCCAAATTCTAATAAATGCATAGGTCTTTTTCTGAAATCTCTTCTGCTTTGTTCATTTAATACCACAGGAGTCTTAATATTATTTGTAGATGACCATGTCATCTATTTTTGTCTGTTCCTTTCCAATATTTACAACTTTTTTGTTACTGGCAAATATCTCCAGATCTGTGGTGGCAGCAGTAAAAAACAGACATCCATTTTCTGTTCCCATTTGTTGTGAAACTGTGCCTAAACTTTCAGCATGATCACTGCTGCATGTGTCTTTGCTGGACATAGGCTTTTTATCATATGCATGTCTTTCTCTTCAGTACAAATTTTCTGGTGTCCCTTAAGTTTTTTAGAACTTTAAAGTTAACCTCATTCGTGGTGCTTTGCTTCAGGTGGATTATTTCTGATGCATGATGAGGTGCCCATTTCTAATGAAAGCTTTCCCACTTTCTAGGTATTCATAGGGTTTTTAGTGAGTATGAATTTTCTGGTGTCTAATGTGGTGGGACATCTGGCTGAAAGCTTTCCCACATTCGCTGCACTGATAAGGCTTCTTACCTGTGTGTATTCTCAAGTGCAGAGCAAGGGTTGAGAACTGAGAGAAAGCTTTCCCACATTCGTTACAACCATAGGGCTTCTCACCTGTATGCCTTCTCACATGCACAGTGAGAGATGAGCTCTGAGAGAAGGCCTTTCCACACACATTGCATTCGTAAGGTTTATCGCCCGAATGGATTCTCACATGTACAATAAGTGATGTTCGCTGAGAGAAGGCCTTTCCACATTCGTTACATTCATAGGGTTTCTCTCCAGTGTGAATGTTCTGATGTTTTATGAGGTAATTCTTCTGGCCAAAGGCTGTTCCACATTCACTACATTTAAAAGGCTTCTCTCCAATATGGATTTTCTCATGCTCAGTAAGGTTGGATTTGCCACTAAAGGTTTTTCCACACTCCTTACATACAAAGGGCTTCTCTCCCGTGTGAGTTCTCTGGTGTCTGATGAGGTTTGACTTCTGAATGAAAGCTTTCCCGCAATCTTTACACTCAGAAGGTTTTTCTCCAGTGTGAATTTTCTGGTGCGTAAGGAGGTTTTCCTCCTGGCTAAAGGATTTCCCACATTCATTACATTCAAAAAGCTTCTCACCGGTATGGGTGTTCTGATGTTTAATGACATACTGCTTCTGGCTAAAGGCTTTGCCACACTCATTACATTCAAAAGGTTTCTCTCTCGTATGAAAATGCTCATGCTCGGTGAGGTTTGACTTGTGGCTGAAGACTTTCCCACATACCTTACAGGCAAAGGGGTTTTCCCCACTGTAAATTCTCTGCTGGCTGAGCTATGACATCTGAATGGAAACTTGCCCACATTTACAAAGTTTCTTTCCAGTAGAAATTGTTTGATGAATGAGAATTTACTTTTGACTTAAGAGATTTCCACATCTATTACATTTATAAGGCTTCTCTGTGTATGATCACCCAAATGCATATCAAGGGATAAGGTTTGAGAGGAAGTTTTTATCATACTCAGTACATTCAATGCTCTCTCTCCAGAAAAATTTTCTAATATTCAATGAAGTATTGCTACTTTCACCTTCACTGGTTTCTCATGAATCTTCTGCTTCTCAATGAGATTTGTCATCTAGCTAAGGGCTTGTCAATATTCCTTAGAAGCACAGGGTTTCTCTTCAGCATGACTTCTACGTTCAATGAGATGTGACATGTGAGTAAAGGATCCCCCACGTTCAGAAAATTCATAGGGTTTCTCTCCAGTATGAACACTCTGGTATCAGATGAGGCACAAACGTTTTAAACCAAAGGCATTTACACTGAAAGGGGGTTAATACCATAAGAAGTAAGCTGTGGCAGAGAAGTTCCCAACTAATTCCCTTGATGATTCTTTCTTACACAACCTCCCTCATGACTTCAGTCCAGGTTGTGTTTCAAACTCCAAACTTCAAAAAGGGGTGGCCTTCAAAGAAAGAAGGTCTGAGAGCAGAGGAAGTATTTGTCCTTCTTTTCCTCAGTCTTTTCTTGCTCTTTTCCTCAGTCTTTACTGGAGATGGATCAACTTGCCTCCCAAGTTTTGATGCCTCTTTATCTGCTCATCATTTTCTCAGGCTTCCTCTGCACAGATCCTTCCCACTTCTTTCTCTACTATACAGTTTGTCTTCTTGCTTCAACAGAGGATCATATAACCTGCCACGGACAAAGACCAAAATGTCAGTACTTTTTTTTTGTTTGTTTGTTTTGTTTTGTTTTTAAGGTAGGGTCTCACTCTATTACTCAGGCTGGAGTGCAGTGGCATGATCACAGTTCACTGCAGCCTCAATCTCCCAGTTCAAGTGATCCTCTCACCTCAGCCTGCTAAATAGCTGGGACTAAAAGACGTGTGCCACCACACACAACTAATTGTTACATTTTTTTTCTTTTTTGAGATGGAGTCTTACTCTGTTGCCCAGGCTGGAGTGCAGTGGCACAATCTTGGCTCACTGTAGCCTCTGCCTCCTGGTCTCAAGCAGTTCTCCTGTCTCAGCCTCCCAAGTGGTTGGAACTACAGGCGCACGCTGCCATACCTGGACCCGGCTAATTTTTGTATTTTAATAGAGATGAGGTTTCACCATGTTGGTCAGGCTGGTCTCAAACTCCTGACCTCAGGTGATCCACCCACCTTCGCCTCCCAAAGTGCTGGGATTACAGGTGTGAGCCACTGCGCCCAGCCATAAAATTTTTTTATAGGATGGGATCTCTTGCCTAGGCTATCCTCCCACCTTGAAATACCTTAATATCTACAAACTAGGAAAAAACTGAAGAGTACAGACTTTTTTGTTTGCTTGTTTATTTTTTGTTTTTGAGACGAAGGCTTGCTCTGTCATCCAAGCTGGAGGGCAGTGGCGTGATGTTGGCTCACTGCAGGCTCTGCCTTTTGGATTCAAGCAATTCTCCTGCCTTAGCCTCCGAGTAGCTGGGTTTACAGGCGCCCACCAGCATGCCTGGCTACTTTTTATTTTTATTTATTTATTTTTAAATTCCATTTATTTATTTTATTGCATTTTAGGTTTTGGGGTACATGTGAAGAACATGCAAGATTGTTGCATAGGTACATACGTGGCAGTGTGATTTGCTGCCTTCCTCCCCATCACCTACATCTGGCATCTCTCCCCTTGCTATCTCTCCCCAACTCCCCACCCCTCACCATCCCTCCCCTGTTTCCCCCAACAGACCCCAGTGTGTAGTGCTTCCCTCCCTGTGTCCATGTGTTCTCATTGTTCAACACCTGCCTATGAGTGAGAACATGCGGTGTTGGATCTTCTGCTCTTCTGTCAGTTTACTGAGAATGATGGTTTCCAGGTTCATCCATGTCCCTGCAAAGGACACAAACTCATCGTTTTTGATGGCTGCATAATATTCCATGGTGTATATGCGCCACATTTTCCCTGTCCAGTCTATCATCGATGGGCATTTGGGTTGGTTCCAGGTCTTTGCTATTGTAAACAGTGCTGCAATGAACGTTCGTGTGCACGTGTCCTT